GTCTGTAAGGTGTGAAACTTAAACTACGTGTAGAGAGAGAGAGAGTTGCCTGTCTCTCGCTCTACAATTTTGTAGAAATGCTTTGCTTTTTCTCACTCTGGAAGCATAAAACCCTACATTGAGAAGATTGTTATTTCAAAATATTCTCAAAGATCTTGCATTTCCGAAATTTTATTGGTTAAAACTTATACTGCTTCACACAATCATCAATCTAGTATCCAAGAAAAACAATCCCAATCCTTTTGCCAGCTAGGGTATCACCACTTCGATCAGTCCCACGGGTATAATCCTTTTCTTTAATATATGCATGTAAACCTGCACAAATATTACTTTTACGAGGTTAATTTTCTGCTTTTTTTTCTAAAAGAAAAATGGCTTCTTGGGAAGTAAGAACAATTTTTTTGTGAAAGTTTCTTCGATAATTTATTAGGGTTTCATCAAGATACTATTCGTCTATTTCTGCTTAAATTTCTTCTTTCTTGTTTTCTGGAATATCGAAAATCTTCATTTTTCATTCTTTTCTTTAACTAGGAGTCTGATGTTCTTGAAATTCTGTTTTTCTTTTTGGATTGTCAGCTTTTAAGCTCACTTCTACTGCTGCTTATTTGATCAGAGTTTTCACTTTATGTTTACACCGTTATGTATAATTTCAGAGTCGTCGTGAATTATCAGATTTATATGTCTGGATTGATTTAATCTTCAAAATATTGTAGCAAAAGTTCAGTTCTTCACCCGCTATATGCATACTGCTTTACTATACATGGAAATCTTCACTTTTCAAACATTTACCCCATTCTTCAGGAAACCCTAATATTTTCATAATTTGGTTTTTATTTTTGATGCTCATCTTCACAGATCCACTTATGGAAACTTATTACAGAAAAAGATCCATAAAAGCCCATCAATCAATTAACCCTAATACGGTATGTTTCTTTCTCTCTCTATCTTCTTTCTCCAAAAACCTGTCACTGACAATATCTGCCGCATGGTTTGTTTTGCATCAAAATACCTTTTTTCTGTTATTTTTGTGTGTGAGAGAGGTGTGTGTACTGTGCGTTTCTGTGCTGTAGCCACTAAAAACAAATCCCAAATCCTCATATTAACTATTACGCTTGGAAATCCACGTGAATGATCGATACATATATATAATCACATGCACACACGATATATACATAATCACAGAAATCTGTATAATTGTGCTGAGTGTTGAAGCTGACAGAAGGGTATTATGGTGCAGCACACTCCTGTTTTCGGCCGACACAACAGTGTACCATCTCCGCCCTCACCCAACCCTTGTACTCTCCCCAGCCAGAAAGGTATTAGACACATATTACTCCAGTTGCAATTACCAAAAAACACGAGTTTCAAAAGAATAATAAAAGGAAAAATTCAGCGCTGGGTTTGAAATTTTTCTAGTTTGAAAATGTTTGCTGAATATCGCTCACTGTTTTTGAATCCAGAGCAAGCAGCTGAAGACGGAGTTGAAACTCATAATCAGAACCATGTTGACGTGGGTTTTCTTTATGAAATCGATCATGTCCATTTACCTCCGAGAACACCTTTCCATCTCAGCTCAATCCGTGTTGCAATGGTAATAGAAAAACTAATACATATTTGCTTCTACTTCTGGTTTTCAAAATCGTCGGCTAATGCGTTATCGTTTTTGTATTTTTATATTATGACCATATAAATTGTGTTGAATATTTTTAGGTTTGTGAGAAAACCGATTCGATCATTGCCGTGAGGTATCCAAGCAAGGACTCTTTGAGGGCATTTTTCAGCTACAGCACAAGGGAAACTCATCCAGCTTTAGATGAGAAGTTTGTAATGGAAACTGCACTTGCTGCGAAGGTGCTTCATCGGAAGGTCCCAGCTCAGGAATATTCAGATCAGAAGCATTTAGAGAGCTTCTGGGTGATAAACTCTTCTGCTGTGAACTCTTTGAAAAATGATTCCAGTTTTACAGAGAACAAGGGACCTTGTTTATCTGATTTAGAATGCAAGTTTATGGTCCGGTGGGGTACTCGGAGACAAGTGAAATATCTGGGTAGGCACAAGGAGACTGCTAGTAATAGTAATCACACTCACAACTCTTCGTCCAGCCTTGTAAATGTAGTTTGTGATGATGAGAAAGAAATATTTGTAGAAGAACTAGAAAATGAAGCTGATGGTGATGAGATTAATGATGTCAATGGTGATAATAAAGAATCTGGGAAAGATGAAATTGAGGAAAATGAAGAAGAAAATAGAGATGATCTAGAAGATGAAGAGGAAGAAGAGTATACTGATCAAACTGAAAAGAATTTGAAGAGAAAGGGGTATACAATGAGAAATAGAAATGTTAAAGAAGGGAAGAAAGGAAAAGTTGAGATCAAGAATCAAACCCAAAAGCAGAAGAAAAATATGTCTAAGAAAAAGAAATGCAAAAACAGTTTCAGGGAAGCAATTATTCTCAGAAATCCCAAAGATCGTTGGTCCTCTGAGAGGTAAGAGCTAAGTGTTTGTTTTGTGATTGATTCTTTTAGTTTGGCAGTGCAAACTTAATTGAATATGAGAAATTATATTGAATGAAGGTACAAGCTTGCGGAGAATAATCTTTTGGAAGTGATGAAGGCAAAGGGAGCAACAGCTGACAAGCCTATAATGCGTCCACAACTGAGGGCGGAAGCACGGAAGAAGATAGGGGATACTGGGCTACTGGATCACCTCCTGAAGCACATGGCCGGAAAGCTTGCGCCGGGTGGGAAAGAGAGGTTTAGAAGGAGGCACAATGCAGACGGAGCAATGGAGTATTGGTTAGAGTGTGCTGATCTTGTTAACATTCGGAAGGATGCTGGGGTAAGTGACCCTTACTGGGTGCCACCTCCTGGTTGGAAGCCTGGTGATTCTCCAACTCAGGACCCCATTTGTGCTAGAGACATAAAGCTTTTGAAGGATGATATCTCTAGTTTAAAACGGTGAAACAATTTTCCATCCTCTGATGTTAGTAGTTTTGTTTAAATAACATTTTATAAAAAAATTTGATGTTTTATGGGCAGAGATATGGAGTTGATGGCCACCAAGATGCAATTGGAGGAAGAAGTTGAAAAATTAAGGAGGTGATATATCTTAGATATTTTCTTGCATGCATGGAGAGAACGAAGGATAGCTTAATGTAACTTGTCATTGGTCTTATGGTGTCTGGGTGTCAAAATGTCCCGGATTAGGGCGGTCCACCATGGTTTAGGCATGGACGACCAAGTAATTTTATAGCTAGGCACGCCTTGTTGTGTTCTTTCATGTTCTAATGTCTACTGGTTCTGTTGCATTCATGAACAGAGAGAGGGGTGAACTGTTGGACAAAAAGAAGGAAGAACAAAACCAAGCAATTGCAGTTCCTTCATGTCCTTGTGGCATTAATCAAAAACTGAATCAGCTTGCTCATTCATTAGTTACTTCAAAGCCTGGTCTTGACAGTGAGCCAGCTATTTCACTACTGGTATTTATGTCATGTAAATGCTATTTTGAACGTTGAATCGTCTTTCAATTATTAGATACTGTATTAAGTGCTCCTTCATTCTTGTTTTTGCAGGAAAAGTTCAAGGAACAACTCATGGTCATATCTGACTTCGTGAAGGAAATAGAGGTATCAGGAAAAGCAGAAAAGAGATTGGGTGCAGCAGCAGCTGGAGAAAAAGCAGCACATATACAAAGACTGAAGAGTGGATTCAGAATTTGCAAGCCACAAGGGACTTTTCTTTGGCCAAATATGGTAAAAAGTAACAGCAGCCCTCAGGTTATGGTCCAAGTTGAAGTCCCAACCCCACCTTCAGTGTCATCCTCCAGTGCCTCAGCTCCCCTTCAGCTACTTCCACACCAACACCATCCGGGCTCCCCCGTCAAGCCTCTGGCGGAGAGACGTGCAGTTGCAGTGACCCTCTCCGCCACATCCAATAGCCCAAATTATGAGGACGGTGCCATGCCAAGTGTGAGTATTATAGTATCATTTTGTGTCACCCTTCTGATTCAATTTCATGATTGATCAGTCTTCCATGTGAATTAAGTTAATTTGCCCCGTTTGGTAGCCATTTTTTTCAAAATGCATTTTTCTCTCTTTTCTTTTCAACCACACATTTTTTATTAAAATAATATTACACGTAAATAAAAAACTATTCCTTATTTCTCAACCACAAATTTCAGATCAATTTACTATTCTAAAATGCATTTTTACATAAAAATTGCCTATCAAACACATATTAATTTGAATTCTGAATGCAGCTTTTGCCAGGTAATTATGGAACAAGGAATTAAATGTGAAGATGAGAATAGAGCTTATTTTGGAGAGGTTTCTGATATTGATAACTTCACTTTTTTGCATTTACCCTGAGTAGTATGTAACAAATTAAGACATCAGGTAAAAGGACAAGAAATATGTAGTTACCCCTTGCAGCTGTAATATTTTTTGGGAAAGATACATAATAGCAATATTTCTAGCCATCTGTGTAGCGTTCATATTCTTAAGCGAATTTCTGTGGCAATAATTAGCAATTTGTTTGTTTTGGCTAAAAAATGGACTGGACTAATCGATATTGTCCCAATTTGGAGCAGAAGATCTTAATTAAGCTCGATGGGAACTCAACTATTTATAGCAGAACATCAAAGAATATTGGTTTATAACGATAAATTATATTTTCTGCACTTCTCTATGCAATTATATAATTCATATTATTCCTATGTGATCGATGGCTCTTAATCGCTTACTTTGTGTAATGAACGATTATGTACTAACACTATTGTACAGCTATCCAAACACCCCACTCCCATCCCATCCCATCTTATGCGGGGATTGGGGTGGGAAAATCTCAATTCAGGATGGCTACCTCCCTATGCACGATGAAAGAAAAATGCCCATCACTTTTGATGCTAAATTTTGAATTGAGAACCGTAAAATACATTACGATCTTAATTTGATAAGCCTTGCAATGGTATATCATATGCCTTGTGAAAATCTATATATCAAACTTTAGAGTGCTTCACATGGTTTTCATTTCTAGCTTTCAATGTCATTCCAAAACCCTTCTTTTCTTCTCTCTTTTTTTTTTCCTCGTTTATCTTCAACACATCTCAACTTGAATTTCCTCAAAAAAATAAATAACAAACTAATTCAAAATGATCATTTACCTCTCTTTTTCTTTCTTATTATCTAGCCTTATATTTCGAAACCTACAATTATTTTTTTAATTAATTCGCAAATGTTTGTAGATTTTAGAATTGACCTGGTTTGAGTTGCCTATTTCGATTGATTATGCATTTTTCTCCTTATATAGCTACAATTGTAAATTAATTCTATAATTTATTATTATTATTTAATAATGCATCGTGCATCGTTAAATTACCAAGATGCAAAAGAATTTTTTTTTTCTCTCTCTCTCATTCTTTCTTCCGAATGAGATACGAGTTGTAGATTAAGTAGATTTGTCACTACAGTACTTCCATTGATTAGTGTCACTGCTATTTTTTCAATTAATTTCTTTTTTAAAAATTTACATATTACTCTGGAGTCTAGACTACCTTTTTTAATTATAATTAACATCTTTGCAACAAATTATTGCCACACAATTTATCCATGGTAATTTAACAAACATGAAGCAACATAAAAATTAAAAACCTATGTCAAATTTCACCGATAATCATGATGTATGTAAGAAATTTTAACGTGATAATTTTCTCTATTAATTAATCATTGTAGTTTATAACAATTTAAAAAAATGATCAGTTGGTTAGAAAAACTAATATAAATTTTATGTATCAATGTTAAGTGTCACTATGGACCAAGTCCTACTATGTTATTAAATAGGACATGTTAAAAACGACATTAGTTTTGGGGGTAAGGTGATACAATCTAATTTTCATATATTAAACGTAAATTGTCTTCGACAAGATAAGCTTCAGTGTCTAATATATTGAAATTTCAGTTCTAATGGAATTATAAAATTACTATAATGACCATTTTGAAATTTTTTTACAAACTTTAGTGACGTGACAATTGATGAAATAACTCAATCAATTAATAGACTTTTTATGTCACTCCAGAAAAAGAAAAAGAGTCCAAACTGCGGGTCTAATTCTTGGGCAACAGGTAGGCCCGGCCCTTTCCCCCATGGCTTGAAGAATAAGGAAATTATAGAAAATGACCGAATAAATCGATGCTATTTCCAAAGTGACCTTTGACCACTTTTTGTAATAAAAAAAATCGAATTTAAAGCTTAAAATTCTTAAATACCCCTCACAAAACCAACTCTCACACAAAACTGAAAATCACAACAGCAGTCGAAGCAAGTTTCATCTATCGTCGACGACGTCATGTGAAGGTAAGATTCGACTGGTTGATTTAATATTTAGATTTTGGAGGTTTTTTCAATATTTATTTGTTTATATTAGTAAAATAGGGTTTATGTAGTCTAAGAAATTATTGGTTGGTGGAATTTGGAAGCTTTTCTCGTCGGAAATAGTGATTTTCCGACGAGAAAGCATGAAGAAGGTCAGAGACGGTGATTTTAGATGAAATCCGACTGTTAACAATCGGGCAGGGCCGCTTAACAGTCGGCCCACCGACTGTTTTTAGTCGGTTTGGCCAATTGTTAACGGTTGGCCCAAAGTAGTTAACAGTCGGCCCGTTTTTTTATTTTTTTATTTTTTTCCAATATATTTTTTTTACAAATATAATAATTTAATTTTAAATTTTTTTATTATTTGGTTTTAATAAATAATAAATTATTTTTACATTTAATTTTTGTTTTAATATTTATTTTTATTTTTTCA